TTTAAAGAAGGTTATATTTCAACTGTTATTTGCCAGTGAATGCAAGAATCCTTTTTGCATACATCATGAAATAACATACAGCACATACAACTAAACAATCTCAAGAATAATCTGTCTCATGGGATGGATTAGTTCAGATGAGGGTCCCATGATGAGGATTACATAGACTGAACAGATGGCAGATAAGACAAAATCACTGCACTAATTCTCATCTACTGACCCAAAATAGGGCTATGGGACGTGACCCACAATGTTTATTTTTCCCCTCAATATGTTTTACTTGTTTAAAACAAAAGTTTTTTCATTACAAATGTAGGTGAAAAGATTCATATTTTTATCTCAAACAATAAATTGTATACGTGTTCATTCATTTGCATTTTATTGTTTTGATAAACCAAATAGTGCAGTGTTCCCTGATAAAATTCTCTATTTGAGTTGTCTCAATCAGATTAAAATAATTAAATTCCTCATTAAGGTACAACATGTATCTTACAGAACAATCAGCTCTGCTCTTCATCTACATCCTTTATCTTTTATTTCCCTTTTGGTATTTTTAAATCCACATATCCACCTTTCATTAACTTATGCAACTTATGCGTTTCCTTTTCTGTCCTTTTCACAAATTTATGTTCACACAGAATCAATATTGATTTCTTTGCTTTTCCATTTATTTGGATTCCAAGAAAAACTTGATTGACAAAAATCGATATCTTTACATGTCATATAATAGTTAAACCACAAACAAACCACCAACTGTAATAATAAAGAAAAATATAAATTCATATAATGAAACATTTAATTGCGCACATAGAGAATAGTAAGAAGAGAAAAAATAACCACAGTATGCAAAAGTTTGTATATTTTTGGCATTCATTTTGGAAAATGAAAAATAAATTGAAATTTTCATTTTACGATTTTCATTTTTCACAGTTTTTTTGGTTGAACCATAGAGTTAGTAATCTACATATATTTCAAAATAAATAATGGCCTCTTCTCCTGAAGGCATCAGTGCATGCATCAGCAGCTTCAAACAATCATGACAGATACAAGTTTCATGCAAATAGCATTCATTAGCATAGCACATGATGTCAATATACTGTTTACGTCACTGTAATATTTAAAATAATTAAGATTAGACCTGCTCTTCTTAGGTTAGAGCTCTTTGTGCTTTCAAATGCTGTCAGTTTATAGTTTGCAGCCAGACTATCAAGCATGTACGGTAGCATTGTCTTACATCATCCATAATAATGCATTCAAGTGGCACTTCCTGGTGTAGACCATAAATCCAACATCTTTTGAAAGCGTGGCTAATGGCTTGTGTAATTCTGAGGGAAAATTCACACAGTGATCCTTCGATCTGAATTAGATGCATGATGACCCACAACAACCGGGGCTAAAGTAAGGCATCCCCTGGAAGTTGTCTGTTGGAAGTGCAGGGGTAAATTCAGAGGTCGGGGCTGAACATGAAGTCCAAAGCTTGTCTCTCGGCTGCAGCCACATTTGGATGCCAGAGGTCCACGCTCAAAATGGCGCGCGGTCCGGCATCTGAGGGCCCTTTAAAAAGAGATGCATACTATTTTAGTTCAAATTGAGCAGTTGTTCAGATTCATCACTTGGGAGCAACTTGTGAAATGGAGCAAAACTGTTTAAAAGAAAGAAAAAATAAATAAAAAAGACTCTTTAGAGAGTGTTTTGCAGACATTCATGCTTTTCAGTTTTAATAAGAAGAATTCCAATGTGAGGGGCACTCTGAGACAGATCCCTCCATCAAGGCTAACGCACAATATCACAAGGTTAAAGAAAGTGAAAGATAATTCCTTTATCCGCCCCCTTAAACCATATCTGCTACAAAAGTTTAGACTTTACCTGAAGGCCACTGTACGTCCTCCTACAGGCTTGGAAGGTGAGGGGTATTTACTTGGTTGCATCAAAGCCTACAAACCGTATATTGACCAATAAATCTTTAATTTCCGAGTCCACGATTAGACTGTCAATTATCTTATCTGTTACATTTTCAAACAAATAAATGCACAAAACTTAAAAGCTTTCCCATTGCCCAGAAATAGAATAAAGTACAATGACATTTTTTTCCGAAGTTTTCCGAAAGTGTTTGTGATTCACTGACCCTTGTGGGAGACAGTGTGAAGAAACGAGTCATCGACCAGGAGGCAGTGCCCCTCGGACCAGCACTGCGGCTCCCCTCCTACCACCAGCTCACACAGAGGGGGAGTCTGCAGACCTACAAAAGTGAAATCTCTTTTTAAACAGAATATCATGTTTTCCATCAGCTAAGAAGGGCGTGCACTCTGGTCCTGTCTGTGTTGAAAACTGAGAGGATTATATCCAGACAGATGATTGCACAAAATGGGCTGAGGGGAACCTTGACCCACAAAGTACCACATTATGCAATGGTTTAATTTTGCCTGGGAGTTTTTTCTGGGCTTTTTAGTTGAATTAACGTCAAACAACAATATATTTGTTGCACCAGGACAATTCCAAAGTGCTGCAGGGTAAACTGAACTGAATAAATAATACCAATTACTGTGAATAGCCTTGATTTGTATGTAATGTTTTGTTATAAAGTGCCTGGCACTCAGAATCTAACTGTGGGGAGTAACTGGCATACGAATTAAGCATTTTGACAGCCAAGGCACTCACCCCTGTAGCAGGTAATCACTTATATTATCAGTCAAGGAATACCTTTCAACTGATGAGTGTTCTCCTACCGACTCAAAGAAAGGCAAATAGTATTTTTGAATGTATATCATGTGTGCAATCTCATCATTTTCTGGATCATATAAAGTTTATTTCTTTGGAGCACTTGCTGCATGAGTGCATTGCAACACATTCATTCTACTGTGTGAAGCATAGCATGTGAAGCATCATTATCAAAGTAACACCAGATTCTGATTGGAAGAGCCGGATGCAGATAAACGCAGATAAACCACGACAAGTGTAATTCTTCTACTCACCCAGATGACAGCGGAGACGTGTATTGGTGGGTCCGTATGAACTCCCCAGCGTAGCCCCGGGTCCCAGCAGCCAAAATCCAGCAGATCCCAATGAGTTGCTGTTTATGAATGTTCGTAGAGAGAGAAGTGTGCGGTATGTGCAGGGACAAGAGCGACAGTTTCCTGCCACGCAGACGCCGGAACTGTACAAGGGGAACACTGCCTGGCCCTGAAAGAGACGATAATCCCAATTAGATCCAAATGAGATCAATACATCAGCACAGATCTGGATCAATCAGTTTCTCTACTTACTGATATCAGAGATCATAGATTGATATGAATTTAATTGAATTTATTTTATGTATTTTTAGATCAAAGAAAACATTAATGTCATTCAAAACCTTGAAAAATGGAAATGTTTCTTGGACTAATCGTGTACCTTTGGACCAAGACTGGTCCAACCTAGTTTTGAGTCAACGCCCCGCTGGTAAACAGTTTGGAATTCAGCTAAGATTACAGGGTAGCTGGCTTCCAAGACCTCAATGTCATGTCGATGAGCATCACGTGGGAAGAAAGGAACACTTGGGACATCTGGCAGGAAGAAAAGATGAGGCTTCTGTATAGCAGAGTGATCATTCAGTCGAACCTTAAGTGAAGACGGAAAAAGGGAGAATGATTATTTCTTGACAATGTTTACTTCCTCTGCTGTTAATCATTTAATAACAACATTTCCATATTAGAACGGCACTCAGGAGAGTGCAGAGCTCTGCCAAGGCCCAACCGTCCCCTGAAATCAATCAAGCTGCACTAAGTAGCTCATGCTCATAGAAAGCAGTTCCCTAAATGTGCCGAATTTTTCTTTCATCAAGGTCCATGAATTATTCTCTGGGAAAATGGTAAAAAGTTTGAAAAACACTTTTTTTATCAATGAAAGTGAAAGTGAAAAAACTTTCCTGGATCCGTCCCCTGATCTGGATCTGCACCAAAATGGCATGGTCTCTTCCCCGACTCTTACCACATCCTTCAAACAAGTTTCATCGAAATCAATTAAGTTGTTGTTGTGTAATCGTGCTTACAAACAAACATAGCCTCCTTCACAAAGAAAGTGAGATGTTAGGACTCCCACTTTTCTTTAAGTATTATTCAATTATTGATGCCATGAAAGCAATCTAGGGCCAAGATGGAATTGATTGTAATACACATCAAATATAAAAACCTATATTCACAAGATGTACCTGTTCACGGAGGCCCTTGTGAATGCGGCCCATGCCCACCCAACTGTAGCGTTTGGCGTACTCTTGTAGTGCTGCGTAAAGTTTTTTAGCTTCTGTAGATGCTTGAGCT